GTCTCGAACCCGCGGGCTCAGGCCATCCACTCACCTCAGCCTCCCAAAGGCGCGGATTACAGGCTGAGCCACCGAGCCCGGCTACAACAGGAACTTCTATTTTCACAGTTCTGGAGATGGCGTCCAAGATCCAGTTGCCTGCAGGATGGGTTCCCTCTGAGGCCTCTCTTCTTGGCTTGCAGATGGCTGCCCTCTTGCCGCCTCTTCACATGGACTTTCCTTTATGTGAGCACATCCCCAGTGCCTCTTTTTGTGTCCAAATTTCCTCTTCTCTAAGAACATCGGTTAGATTTGATTAGGGTCCCACTTAATTGTCTCATTTTAACTTACGTGCCTCTTTAAAAGCTTTGCCTCCAAACACAGTCACATTCAGAGATACTGGGAGGTCGGGGTTCAACATTTGCATTTGAGAGAGTCACAGCTCAGTCTATCAGGGCAGACTAAGCAGTACCCCCTGACACTGGGCCACAGGTCGAGAGGGAGTTAGGTGCCTCAGTGGATCTGCCATCCAGGTTTCCCCAAGTCACCCCCACTACCTGTGGGTGCAAGGGGAGTCACCTTACAGTGATATTCCACAGACACTGGCAGGCTCTCAGCCCCTACAAAGTGCTGCTCTAAATAGTTCAGTAGCTCAGAGGGTGAATCTTGCCTGCCCACTGATAAGAGTCAGATATGAACGGGATCCCATGGGACCACTCAGCCAATGTCCACCTTCCATCCGCTGGGCACTGCTGCTGATGCTGGGCACAGCTGACACCTCTGCTGGGTATTGTCACATGGACTTGTGCCACCACCACCTAGGTGCCACCAGACACAAGTTCTGTCATGGCCCAGACTGTAGCTCTCAATATCTCAAAGCCACACCGGATTTGGGTAGAAACTGTCTTCCCTTCCTCAGATGCCAAGACGGTGATGCCTTGTGCCACACATTTTATAGAGATTTCAATGAAGCAGACTGCTTCATTTTGACTTCCAGATTCCCTTTCCTCGTGTTCAGACAGGCGTCCATGCAGGTTGGAAAAGGTACACTCAGACACTGCTCCTTTGCCATTGAGGTGACACACACCTCCATCACTCATTACAATGAGGTCTCCCACAAGGTTTCTTAGTATATCTCCTGAAAAAGGACTTGGGGGTGAACACCCCTAGCTGTATCTACCTGCTAAGGACTGAATGTCTGTGTGCCCACCCAGCCCACTAATTCATATGCAGAAGGGTATTAGGAGGTGGGGCACTTAGGAGGTAATTAGGTCAAGAAGGTAGAGCCCTCATGAATGGGATTAACCACCTTATAAAAAGACATGAAGGAGCTTGTTTTCTCTTTTTCTGTTCTCTTCCCTGTGGGGATACGAAAAGATAGCCATCTGTAAGTCAGGAAGTGAACCCTGACCAGACATTGGATCTACCAGCACCTTGACTTTTCCAGAACTTGGAGAAATAAATTTCTGTTATTTATGCCACCCAGTCTGGTATTTTTGTTATAGCAGCCAAACTGACTATTGCATAGTATTCACAGTTTAGAATCCCACTGCATACATATGGACTTTGGACACAAGCAGGGCCCAGTTGTGACACCTGTTATAGTCCAATAAAAATCTCTATTCCAAGTTGTTGGTTTAAGCATACTGAGATGCCTCTCTCTCTCCTCGGGAAGCTGCAGATAACAGGAAGCGGTGGTGAATGGAAAATCGAGAATGAAGGTAATGGCAGAAACAGCAACCAGGACAATCAAAGTTTACTCAGCCTTACATGGAACAGATACTATGCCATTTTCTGGAAATGCAATGGCAAAACATGATTAAATATGATCAAAGTGTCTACCCTTATTTTAGCATTTAAATTCTGGTGATGACTTTTCATCATAATACCATCAGTGTTAAGAAAAAGATTTGTACTGGAGGCAATGGAAGCACAGAGAAGGAGCCAACAGGCTATCCTGGATGTTTATATCAGACTTCCTGTATGCCCAGAGTTCTCATCTGAGTGAGCTCACCTCCACACCCACTCACACCTCAAAAGGTGACATTTATGCCACCTGTACTTACCCTTTACGCCTCTGGGAGCCGAGTCAACAATCAGGTTTCAATAACCTTATAGGGGCCAGCTGGGTTCTCTGTCCTTGGAATTTGGAAGAAGAACACTGAGGGATGGAGACAGGTGCATCTACAGGGAGGTGTACTCACAGGATGATGGACACTTGACCTGAAAAGTCATAGGAACTTGATCCTTGCTCGGGTCCAGATGCCATCGCAAACCAGGACCAGAATACCATGTCACCCATGAGGCAAAGATAGGGGATTCCCAGGTCACAAGTAAACAAAGGCAGACCTCAGGAAGACAGAGGAGTGAAGCAGGTGCAAACAGCCAGGAGAATGCAAGTCCTTGAGCCCACAATGGGAATTAACACTGGATCATGACTTGCTGGTTTGGGTCCCATGGGGTTCAATGGCACTCCTTTCCTCTGATATTTCTGTGGGGTCATCTGTCATACTTCTGTAGTAATGCTCCACGGAACCTCAACATCACTGAACTTCTTTGCTTTGCAACTAAAGCCTTAATAATAATAACCTCGTGCTTACCCAACTCTAGTCTTCTGGTGCAGTTCTGTCTTCTCACACTGGCAGATGCCTACTCAGTCTTGTTAGCCAGCTTAAATGCCACCTTCTCTCTGAAGCCATCTCTGACAGCTTCCTTCCTTGTGATCCTTCAGGGCTCTGTTCATAATCATTGCATTGTACAGTAATTTCTCTATTGATAAAAATTTCATTCCCAGACCATGAGCTCCTCGAAGGCAGAACCCTGAGACCCACAAGGTGCTCAGTAAATGTTTGCAGAATTGCCTCGGTGGCTCTGAGTTGGTTCTGGAAGCAGCTTGCCAGTTGGCACGACATCCTCTCTGCTGCTCAGCCTTCCAGACACTTGAGGGACTAGGCGTTTATGCTGACTTTGCTGACTTCTCCCTTGACTCTCAGTGGCATCTTTTCTTGGTCCTCCTGGTGTCGAGGATTGCTCGCTGGCTGGGTCCCCCTGCTCAGAGCAAACTTCACTGCCTTTGGATCAGTGACAATTCCAAGGTGACCCCCCTGGGGCAGGGCACAAGCTGTTTTCCAGGGCCCTAGAATCTGTGCTGAGCTTTGGCTCCTCTGAATGGCTCTGTGTGGTTGCCTGGGGCCCAGGCTCCCTGTGTGTCTGCTCAAGACAGCACCCCCCACCCGGTCCAGCCATCTGTTTATTTTGGCTGCATCTCTGTCTTTATGTTCCCTCTTCTGAGAAATAGCGAATAGTAGCTGCTCCCTTTAATCAGCCCCCAGCCCTCACTACCTTGTCCATCGGAGAAAAATGAACTCCAGGCCTTTAACCGCTTTTATGCACGGGAGAAAACATCAGAGCTCATTTGCTCAGGAAAAACAACAACAACAACAGCAAACACTTCTTGCTCTGTTGAGTCCTTTTTTCTTTATGGATTGCAGTGCCCCCTAGCAAACCCACCAGTTTTCCTGCCAACTGCCAGCTATATATCCAAGCCACTGACTTACCTCCTGTCAGCCTGGGGCAGCGGTGGCAACTGGAGAGTTTCACAGCCTCGGGATGTTTATTTGCTTTACTTTCTGTTCTCCTGTAGGGAGGGTTTTGTAAGAGGAGTTTCTGCCAGGACACCTGATGTGCTATCCTAGGTACTGGTAGGTGTGTGATCGCCTGGGAGAGTAGGCGGCTTAAACACATGGGGGTTTTGACACTTTTGGCCTCACCTTGTGACCCTTTTCTGACTCTGCTTTTAGGAAGAAGAAAGAGGGAGCGAGAGACCCTCAGGTGTATCCTCTAATATTTCAAAATGAACTCTCTTGCTTCTATGAACCCCTCCTCTCGTGTAAATAGTGCTGGCTTTTTATAAATTCCGTGACCTTCATGTTGCTTGGTCTGGACATGAAATGAGAACTTTGGGCCAAAATATTGCCTCAGGCTGTTTCTGGTCCCTACGGGGATGGATACGGGGTGTCTGGCCGAGCACAAGTCCACTCTGGATGGACCCGTCTCTGGAAAGAATCCCTCTCGCTTGAGATGAAAGAAACAGCCCTTCTATGCCAGGCAGTGTCTCAGACTGTTCCTTCAGCCTCTGGCGGTGGGGCAGGACACGGAATGAGAAATGAAGACAGCCTCCGGCCAGGGCTGAACGCCAGGAGCGATTAGCCAGGGAGTGGATGGAGCCTGTCTTGATGCCACTGCTCTCCGTGGTGTGGACAGAACCTGTCTTGACTCCGCATCTCTCCATGACTTGCTTCTTTCTTCAATTGGAGATCTCGGCACATCAAAACATTAGTTAAGGAGGTATTTAATCTGGGGACAAAATAACACCTAGTTAAACCAACTTATCAACAGAGATGGCTAGAGGTTTTTGGCATCTGACCATAAATGATCCCCCAAAGCTGCGCTCCTAAAATGAAAACCCAACTTCGTGATTTGAGGCAGCCTAAAAGTATGTGTAATAAAAGAGAAAGAGCACTTAACGGGGAGTCAGGAGCCTCGATTCCTAATGCTAGACTCATTACTCACGATGCCACTTTGGGCAAATCATTCGGTTTCTCTGGCTTCATTAGTGACCTCAGTGGGAGCAGCTTTAGCAGAAAAACTGACATCGTAATTGCCAAATCCATAGGCTAATTTTCATTCCACCTCCTCCTTGACAACTCCAGCGTGCTTGGCACTCTTGACTGCTTTTCCTCCTCAAGACTGTCTGTGCTCTTGGCTCTGGGGATCCAGCCTCCGTGAATGTTTCTTCCCTCGCTCCTTTTCTCTCGCCCTGGCTCCCCAATACCACCTGTCCACTGCCCGGTTGTGTCCCCAGCGGTCCCTCTTCTCCTCACACGTCCATTTGATAAGGGATCCCACCCACTTCCATGGATCCAGCCACCAGCACTTTGCTGATAACCGCCACAGCTCTACTTCACAGCTCTCCCGGTCTCTCTCCCAAATGCCAGCCTGCCTTGCCGGCGGCCCGCAAGATGCCCCGTCCAGTTGTTGGCGGAGGACCTCAGACTCAGCCTGCTCCAGCCCCAGCCCACTGTCATCTCACGTCTGTCCTGCCTTTCCCCCGTAAACCTGGATCCTGGGGCCTTTCCTGCCCTCTGTATTCCACTCGGGGCGCTCAAATATCCTTCAGGCTTTGCTCTTCCTGAAAGACTGTTGCTGCCGAGTCTACCTGAGAGGTGTTCCTCACATCTTTGTTGCCGCCGCTGCTGCTTTGGTTCGGATCCCCAGCGTCTGTCACTGGGAGTGTTGAAATTGTTCTGGAAGTAGCGAAGAACAGGTTTAGCTGATGGAGCAGAATGCCAAGCCTCCCCTGGCTTAACCAAATGGAGTTTGTTATTTTTTTTTTTCTCAGACAATAAGAAATTCAGATGTAGAAGATCCAGGACCAATATGGCAGCCCCAGAATGCTACCAGGGACCCCGCGATCCTTTTATCTTTCCTTTGGCATGAGACTGTCATCTGCATGCTTGTCACCTCATGGTCACTCTTCTTCCATGTCCACATTCCTGGCAAAAAGAAGGTGAAGGGCAAAGGACAAAAGGCCATTGGCCCCTGAATCTGATTCCTTTCGAAGACTGCAGAGAGCTCTGCCCAGTGAATGTCACTTGCTCTTAACATCCCATTGGCCGAAACAGCCATGTGTGACCTCTCTGTCTCTCTCTCTGTCTCTCTCTCTCTCTCTGTAAGGAAAGCTGGGAATGGTAGTGGGGTTTTTCTTTGTTGTCTTTTTCCCCCAGCAGTGCACATTGCCTCCTTGAATAAAACTGAGGTTCTGTTAGGAAGGAAGAAAAAGCCAATGGATGCCATGTAAGCAAATACCTGTGTCTGCAACAGCTTGGTCTTGGTCTCTTAGCTGTGAGACTCTTCTTCTGCTGCTCTGCCCTCTATGTCCCCCAAAAGAAATGGGGATCATAGTATTCCTCTATTTTAAATATCTGTTGATTCTTCATTGGCTACAGAATAGAGGACAAACAGCTTAGTCCACAGGCTGGGTCCTACCTTCTTTTCTGGGCTCCCCTCCTGCCATCACCCTTCCCCCGAGAACACATACGTAAGACCCCACTCTTCATGGTTTCCTAAACCCACAATGCTGCTACACCTCTGTGTACGCTGGTCCTCCTGCCCAACTGCCTTTCCCATCACTGGACATTTATTGGGCACTCATTGCGGGGGAGGGAAAAGGCACATCGAGACTCAAATTTGGACAGGAAAGGAGAACTCTGGGCCAAAATATCGCCTGCTGGTTTCACATGCTCTGGCTGTTTCTGGTCCCCATGGGGATAGATACAGCGTACCTGGCCAAGTACAAGTCTACTCAGGATGGACCCATCTCTGGAAAGAACCCTACTCGCTTGAGATGAAAGGAGAAGCCCTTGCCTGAGCCCGCGGGTTCGAGACCCGTGGGGCAACTTGGCGAGACTTCATCTCTTCAATAAATTAGCCGGGCGTGGTAGCACATGCCTGTAGTTTCCAGCTACTTGGAAGGCTGAGGTGGAAGGATCGCTGGAGCCCAGCAGGTCGATGCTGGGGTAGCTGTGAGCATGCCACTGCACCCCAGCCTGAGTGACAGAGTACGACTCCAATTAAAAAAGAAGGAACAGTCCTTCTGTGCCAGGCAACATCTCAGACTATTCCTTAACCTTTAAAAGACAGATATTCCTCACATTTTGAGTCCTCCTTATGCCTGTGGGCTCCGATCCTTGGGATAGGGTACCCAGTTGGAGGGCGCAGAGGCCAGCATTAGGTGGGTCATGTTTCCTGGAAGTCGGGGTCACTGAGTAGTGAGAGAACACAAATCACAAGCACACTCTTTCCCCCTGTTTGCCGTCCCAGGGAAGTGCTGGATTGCCCCCCTTACCATTACTGTACAATCCTATTCCCTTGAGTAAAATGCCTTTGTGTGGGACACCCACCTTCTAGAGTGACAAGTTGGCCACCTGTTCAGTTCACTCCATTTCTGTGATTTATCTACACAGTTGCTCCAGGAAGCTGACTCTGAATCATCTCACCAGACTTAGAAATCTCTTTTCCTCTCTGCAGACAATCAGAGCATAGGGTCCCCCGATAGCTCCCTGTGGAAGATAGGGTCCCCAGGCCTAAGGCCGGTACACTATTTGAGTTTTACCAGAGCTTTGCATTGTGGCATAGAGACTTTGCCATGTATCCAATAAAATCAGTGATGTGTTCTTAGCACAGCGAGTGATTCTTGTGTACAGACAG